AGTTCATAATGCGTGATCAAAACCAAAAGTTTCTGTGATGACTGCCCTTGTACTGTTCACCATGTAAGAACTTATTCACTATGTAAGAATTTGTTCACCATTTAAGAACTTGCTTGTTATGCTTCAGAAGATTGGAGACTGACGAGAACTAGGCTTGAGATGGATTAATGATTGTGCATTGAGCATTGCCTCCCCTATACAGAATTTTATTGTTGTTAACAACCATTTGATCAATAAATATGAGAGATACCCTCTCAAAAAAAAATTTTTTTTTAAATAAATAAAACTAATGATATATCATGAGTAAGCAGAATCTCCCAGGAGCACAAAGTTGGTTGGTTTAACATTCTGAATCAATCCATGTACAGATTATCAAGGGAAAACAATGTGATGATTTCAGGAGATATAGAATAATCACTTGAGATTTTTGGAAAAAAATACACAGCAAACTTTTTCAAACTGATAAAGTCCATTTATGAAGCATACACCATTTATGAAATATCAAATATATACCAGTCTTACATCAAGCCATTCTGATCTTATTTACCGAAATGTTAATTGTGTGCCCACAAGAAGACATTTACAAAATGATCTTAGCAATTTTTTTCATAATATAGGAAAGTCTTGCAAATGGGAAACCATGTGACTATCCATAGCATGTGGATAGACAAATTTGGTATATCTACACAATATAATACTACTCAGAAAAATAGGAGGAAAAAGAATGTACTATTGATACTTGCAAAAACATGTATGAAACTCAAAATAATTATTTTGAGAAAAAGAAACCAGACTGAAAGCGCCTGTACTCTATGGTTCACTTTACACAAAATTCTAGAAAAGTAAACCAGTCTATAGTGACAGAAAGCATATTATTCAGTGGTTACCTTGGGATAATAGGAGAATGGAGCAGGAGAGATGAAAATGCCATAAGGAAATTCTTGCTGGTTGTATCATTATCTTGACTGTGGAGATTATTTTGTAGATATGCACAAGGCAATATTAATCAAAGTACATACTTTAAAATATGTGCAGTTCACTCTACATTAATTATACCTCACTATAGCTGTAATTTTGTTTTGAAAAAGTATATGTGTCTTAGTTCATTTTGGGGATGAGATTGTATTAGGGGTTGTTGATCTGCCTGTGGATAAGCAGCCTCAGTCATTTTTTCCCCATATCTGTGGCCATGTCATCTGTAAAGATGGATCTTAAAGCAGAGACATTAGTTGTTCTTCAGTGCAGGCTATCATTTTATTTTCCTTCTCTGAGAATAAATTTTCTTTTATGTAATTTCAAGAATATAGATCATTTGTCTTAGATAAATGAGATTGTTCACAGATACTTAGATCTAAAATATACTGCTCTTGTTGCCATTTTATATGATGATAATTTATCTGTTTTGTCCATCTGACAGAATATGTATGGAAAACTCCAATGAAGATACCACTTTTATTTTTATTCCTCTTTCTCCACTCATGAAACTAAATTTATAATTTCAACAGTAGGTAAATACCAATTCATTTGGCATGGTTCTTGTAGCCATTCCTCAAGGTGGCACTATTCAAATGGATTAATTCTGTAAATTTTGTCTTTCTGCAGAATAAACATACAGAAATGTGCCTCTTAGTCTAATGTAAGAGGAAGCTCACTTATGCTGAAAATAAATACTGGAGATGCTTTCAAGATTGGTGATGCAGAAATACATTATATTATTTCATTAGAGAAAAAGAACCCCAGGTCCATTCAAGATATCCTGAGACTCTGACTCCATAAATAAAAACAAGCATTAGATAGAAAAAAGTGAGAAAAAAGTGGAAAAATCAAAGAAGGTTGGATTAAAAAGGCTAATTCATCCAAATATTAGGGAGAGAGTGAGATTCAAAGATAAGTAATAACAATTAAGGACAATGCTAATAAATCAAATCCTATTTGTAACTGTGTCTATGTTAACTGCAAAGAACAGCAAAGCCATTTTACACATTATCCAAAATTACTGGGTAAATGTTGAACTATTTACTCTATTCACAAAAATATGTAATTTGTAGCCAATGTGTCTACAATAAATTCATTAGAACAGAATTGACTGACAGATCATTGAGTGAAAAGGAACTTAGTCATCAATATCAGTTTTTTTGGGACAGTAATGATTAAAGAGCTAATCATATTTAAGTAAAACAGTAAAAACCTTACAATTTATAGAACTGCACTCTCTCAATAGTGTTTCAAAATTAACGTAGCAAGAAGAACTTTTTTTTTGGAAGAACTTTTTAAAAAGGCATTCTTCAGATATTCAGGTCATAAAGCTGGGGCAAGAATTTCTTCAGAACCTGATTTATTTTCAAATATATTCTTCATTCTCAAGAATTTTCCACATTTGACTTTTTACTTACATATCAACTCATATCCTGTTTATTTGTAGTAAATTAAGCTTCATATCTTTAGCATTTCTTTTTTCAAGTTCATATCTTCAACTTTATTAACTATATATATATACATTAAATAAATGTTTATTTAATAATATTCTAAATATTAATATATATAGATTTTAATATGGAAAGCTTCACAAATTTTTGTGTCATCCTTGTGCATTGGACATGCTAATCTTCTCTGTATCATTCCAATTTGAGTATATGTGTTGCTGAAGCAAGCACCATACCTTTAGCACTTAAATTAAAATTTAATAATGTAATTCAATGTCTACAAACAAGAAGCCTCACTTTAAAATCTGAGCCAAATACAGCTAGAAAATATGATTAGAAAAATATGCAATTTGAATTTACCTACCTTTTAAAAAAAGTCTTGGTAATGCATTATAATGATTCAAATTATAAAAATGTTGGTTCACATGCAAGATTTCAATATAACATTTTTGTTTAAAGTGTCTAGCATGTAGTAGCCTTTTGTAATCCACTTTAGATTTTTTATCTATTTAAAATATCCACTTTACCCATCTTTTGCTCTTATTGGGAGTATTGCTGCAGATTCATTCACTAAATGATTGGTATCATCCCTTCAAATTCCCTTGAAATATAAATAATGCCCATTTTTGAACTGCAGAACTTCACTCAGATATACAGGACTTACCATGCATACATAATTATTTTTCCAGTTTATGTTTCTGTATTAGTGTTATGAGTTCTCTATCTCTGCCTACAATGCATTTTCTTATGTTCTTGCTCATTCTACTCCTGTCTGGTCATCATTGTCCTTTTATAGGAGATTTTGGTGAAGAATCTTTTCCTCTTAACTGGAAAGGCAGGGAAACTGGATCTGAGAAGCCAGGAGTTAAATCCCAGTTCTCATATGTACAAACTGTTACCTTAAGCAAATTTTTCAAACTCTGTTATCAGCAGTTTCCTCATCTGTAAACTATACATAATAATCGTGCCCACATTACATACTGGTAATGAAGATTAAATGCATTTATATGAAGTGTTTAGAATTGTTCTTGGCCTCGTCAGTACAATCTAAATATTGCCTATCCCTACCTTTGGGTACAATTAGGCACTATCATCAATTAGTAAATAACACATATTTATTTCATATCTAAGTGCTTGCTGAGGACAAAAAGTGAGCTAGGGCATTATTTCACTTATAATACAAACCTAACAGTAGCACATTGTTACTTTAATATCATAGGATTTACAAAAACACACAGCAAGTGTTTCTGTAGCTTTGTTTTCCTATTAGATCTGAATGCAGACTCTTAGTGTATTCGTGTGCAAGGGCTGCGGTAACACAGTACCACAATTTGAACAGCTTTAAAAAAACAGAATTTTATTGTTTCAGTTTGGAGCCTAGAAGTCCAAAATCAAGTTGCCAGCAGGTCCGTGCTCCCTCTGAAAACCAGAGGGGTCTTCCCTTGCCTTTTCCTAGTGTCTGGTTATATGCTGGTGAACTTGGGTGTTTCTTTGTTTGTAGGTGTATCTCCCCAGTCTTTCGTCTTCACGTGGCATTCTGTGTGTCTCTTCACATTGTCTTTCTCTGCCAGTCTGTTTCCAAATTTCCAAATTTCCAAATTTTATAAGGGCACTAGTTATATGGGATTAGGACCCACCTTAATGATGTCATTTTAACTTTGTTAAATCTGCAAAGACCCTAGTTCCTAATAAAGTCACTTTCTGAGGAACAGAGGGTTCCACATCATATTTCTTCTTGGGGAACAAAATTAACTCTGTAACAATGAACATTATTTGCTTTGGGATTGTGCTTCTTAAAAATGTAACTGATACACAAGATATGCATAATCACTATTGATTAGTTGGACAAATTAGTGAATGACTATAAATTCAATAATGAGGTTCTAGAAAAAAATATTTTTAATTGTAAATATAGTAATTTAATCTTCAGATTCATAAAAAATATGTTAATTCCTCTTCTTACATTTTCAAGCCTATGTCTGTCTAATGTGTATTCTTTCAGATTTCTATGGAAATGTATAAATTAATATAAATATAAATATAATCCAAGTATACACACATACACGGAGTCATATATTTCCCTTCTAAGATTTTTTCATATCATTCTTTTTAAAATTTCTATATCTATTCCTATAGGTTAAATATTCTGTATTTTCAGTAAACATTATAATACTGATAAGGTTTAGCTTTTACCTAGTTTTTTGTTATTTTAAATGTTACTCTAAACAAATGAATACATTTGTTTCCATATCAATATAAAATGTTGGCTAATTAATGGATTATTTTTTCAGTAAGAAAAGACAATGTTAAATTTCAGTAGAACAAATATTTGACTAATGCTTACTGGAGAAAGTACATCACAGGGATCCGAATATAATAACAAAATTTCATACAGCAAAATATTTGTGTTAGTGTAAATCTTTTTAACATAATGTTTTTATTTGAAGCCCACACAGTCTCATCATCTTAAAATCAGATATTCCTCATATTGTACCTTTCTCACATTTGCATGTCACATTTAGTTAAATATATTTTATTTTCTACTTGGTACTCTTAGCTGTCAAATTTATTACATTTCCCATGGATGTGTGCCATAAAGTTCTCTGTAAATATGTCTTTCATTATGAAAAGAAATATTGCAAATTTTAGTCTGCTTTTTAAAACTTCATTCCATTAACAATACTTGTAACTCTGAAAACAAGTTGAAATACAGAATTTCAATACTGAATTGAGGTGTCTCCTGTAAATTTCATCAGCATTTTTAAGAACCTTGAATAGTGTATTTAATGTCTAATCTAATGTATTTCCAGCATTTCCATCTTAGGAGGTGAGTCTTCTCATTCCTTTGCGTCTTTGTCTTGTCCTTCTTTCTTTGGCTGCACAATTGTCTTTCTCACTTTTGTCATTACAACCAAACAGTAAAGCAACAATACTACAGAATAATGATTCCTGTGTAGTCGAACATGCGGGTTATAGTCGCTTTGATCTTCAGGAAAATAGGTATGTATTACAAACACAGCCATAATCTTGTATGACTGTATAAGGCAGATCAGAAACAAACACATTAAAAAAGTAGACTTTTAAAACCTGCCCAGCTCAAAATGTGTTGAAAAAGTCTAGTGATTCCTGAAATCTGGGACCAGTGGATTATGAGCACCAAATCCTTCTATATACTTACGGAGTTTTTCAACAACGTGAATCAATTATATGTATGAAATAGTCTGTAGTGAACTGGCTGTCTTAGCAGCATCCAGTTTTATATTATTTTTAGAAGGGCCATTACAAAAATGACTATCAGGAAAAGTTTATGCAATAAATGGTTTAGGTACTTTTAGGCTCATGCACAGAAGTAAATTCGTATGTTAAAGCAGAATTGTTCCCAAGTACCTCATTTTTCCATTTCTTCTATTTAGGGAAGGAAGGATTAGATCCATTAATATTGCTTTGTCTCATACAAGGTCTTATTATCAGCCAATGTTGCCTTAGATTAACTACTTTTCAAGGTACCATACTCATATATTCAGTTGGGTAAAATACAGACATTTATATAAAAGCAAAATTTTGGAGCATGGATTAGGTCATGAAGTTTTAATGTTGGTTTGATATAATAATTATTATATATATATTTTGATGTCTACATTATTCAATTTAAACCATTTTACACTGATTGGCTAACAATGCTATGAGTTCAATGGTTTAACATAGCAAAGGCTTACTTCTGATTCATGCTACACACTGAATTCAATTCACCAGGGGTAACATCCTCATCTTAGTCATGCACAGACATGGCTCCTCCACACTTAGCCATGCTGTTTGAAGCACCCATTCTCCTGAGTTCACTACTGGCTGACCACTAATGAAATGTTTCAGCCCAGAAGTGACATTCACATGTTCAAATCACATGCATTTTGCTGTTCATAAGTAGCCAGCTGTAACAACTTCAAGGGATTAGAGAACTGTAAGCCTTCTTGTGTCTAGAAATAGAGGAGAACCTCTTTAATGTCATCAACAATGTGTGTACAAATACTATCCTTAACCTAATGAAAAATAGATACTGGACTTTCTTCAGAGGAGACAACTGTCATTTCTGAGATAATTTGTGTGAAGCCCCCTAAGAAAAGGCTCACCTTTTCCAACTCTTGTATATTAAATGTGAGTCTTTCCTAAGTCTCCACTTACATAGGCACCTTTACTTTTATGATCTGTTTTATTCATCAGTATTCTGCAGAGCCAGAAGGTTGCTCTCTGGTAAACAGACACAAACACTGGGTAGACTCCAGCCAGTATTAAAGTCAAGATTTTGATTTCAGTTATAAGAAAACCA